ACCAGTGCACAACTCTGTTTTTCCTGGTACAGCTTGTTAAATAAAAACAGACCCACTACTGATCCCAGGAACAAAAATCCAGACTGAGACTGCTTTCCATCACCTCCTTTAGTCATTTTCCACTAGTCATTCCCTCACTCTATTTGCAATTTTCACACTGATCTACTTCTTCACCTTGCTTATTTCTCATGGGACACCATAACCATCTTTCTGGAATGCCAATGCCATAGACATTTTTAAGATTACATTTCCTAATGTAGCAGAAACAGCTATTTAATCTGATTTTCTACTGACCTTTTAATTATTTGTTTGCTCAAAATTTGATTCAAACTCTTGCAGCAGATGACTATGCAAATAAAACAGGTTTTTAGATCTATTTCATTCTTGACTTAACTTGGCCCACTCCCTGATTGAGGTTTTTGATTGCTTCAAGTGTAGAGCCAGTAAATGGTATGAAGCCAGGTAACAAAGCAGGATGAAAAACAGTGCCTGTAGGTGACAACTTTCTAGCAAGAAGAAACACAGAATAATTTGGGTTGGAAGCGACCTTAAAGATCATCTAGTTCCAACCCCCCTCCATGGGCAAGGACACTTCCCACTAGATCAAGCTGCTCAGAGCCCCATTCAATCTGGCCTTGAACACTTCCAGGGATTGGATTTCCACAGCTTCCCTGGGCAACCTGTTCCAGTGTCTCATCACTCTCATAGTGGAGAATTTCCTCCTAATGTCTAATCTAAATCTCACCTCTGACAGCTTGAATCCATTGCCACCTGTCCCCTCATTACATGTTGTAAGACTTGAGTGTAAAAACCTAACTGCCACGGTAATTTCTTCTCCTTCCAGGTTTGTCTTATTTATGTGTCTATGGATGACACCAGCAGCAAATCCTCCCTTAGTCCTTTCCTCTATAAGGACAAATATACCTGTGGTAAACAGGGATGAGCAGCTGAACTTATTTGAAACTAATTCTGAGAAGAGTTTTAACCTGTTGAGCTCCCCAACCAAAATCACACCAGAGAGTAAATTTGTGTGCCAGATGGGAAAGAGGGGAGAGAGGCAAAGCTGTTTCACAATCACAAAATGGTTTGTCTTTGAAGGGACCTTAAAGATCATCTAGTTCCAACCCCCCTGCATGGGTAGGGACACCTCCCAGTAGAGCAGGTTGCTCCAAGCCCCATCCAACCTGGCCTTGAACACTTAACAGATCGTATTTTCTTTGACAATGATGCAGGCTTAAAAATAATGAGGAAACAGGAATGCAGGCTTATCTAGCACCATGGAAATTGGGTAATAGCACTGCTCTAGTTTCAGGGATTTTGACACAAACAAGACAATACATGCTTGTAAAAGCTACTGCTACCTTTCAGTTAATGGATGAGGTGGCAAAATCCACCAGATTAGTTGTGAGGCAGGTAAGTTTTTTCTTCTAATGATGTGTAGCCTCTAACTGACCCAAAATGTGCATCTCATCCCTCCATGATTAAAGCACTAAAACTCTTCAACACCTGCAATATGTGAAGGGAGAAAAAGAAGTTGGTCTCTGTTGCCACCGTGCCATGAATAACAAACTGAAATCCTCTTCATGCCTTGCTGGGGATTTATGAGCCTAAGTTGGGAAGGAAAATAGAAAGTAATTCACTGAAAAATAAGTCTTGGATTGTGGTTACTAAATATAATAGGATACTTTTCTATTCTTACTGCTCTCCTTTCAGGGGAAAAAGCCCACTGAAACAATGAGCAATAAAAAGTTGTAGTTATTCCTCTTTTTGCAAGGCTGAAAAATTATAATCACAGACAAATGAGGTTCAACAAGAGTAAGTGCAGAGTCCTGCACCTGGGAAGGAACAACACCACGCACCAGTACAGGATAGGAGCTGACATGCTAGAAAGCAGCTCTGCGGAGAAGGACCTTGGGGTCCTGGTGGACAACAAGTGATCCATGGGACAGCAATGTGCCCTTGTGGCCAAGAAGGCCAGTGGTATCCTGGGGTGTATTAAGAACAGTGTGGCCAGCAGGTCAAGGGTGGTTCTCCTTCACCTCTGCCCCAGTGACACCACATCTGGAGTATTGTGTCCAGTGCTGGGCTCCCTAGTTCAAGAGGGACAGGGATATGGTAGAAAGAGTCCAATGGAGTCTACAAGGGTGATGAAGGGACTGGAACATTCATCTGATGAGGAAAGGCTGAGAGACCTGTTTAGTCTGGAGAAAAGACTAAAAGGAGACCTTATTGATGTCTATAAATATCTGCAGGGTGGGTGTCAAGAAGGGGCCAGTGTCTGTTCAGTGGTGCCTGTGACAGGACAAGGGGAAATGGCACCAAGTGACAACACAGAAAGTTCCACCTCAACATGAGGAGAAACTTAATTCCTGTGAGGGTGACAGAGCCCTGGGCCAGGCTGCCCAGAGAGGCTGTGGAGTCTCCTTCTCTGGAGACTTTCAAGACCTGTCTGGATGTGTTTCTGTGTGACCTGCCCCAGTTGATCCTGCTGTAGCAGGGGGGTTGGACTCAATGATTTCCAGAGGTCCCTTCAAACCTCCCTGATTCTATGATTCTATGACAGACCTTGAGGAATCAAATGCTGCTTTATGTCCTGATGCTGCTTTCCAATACAGCTAAAGACCAAGACTATGTTTTAAACTACAATTGCACGAGCATATTTAACCTTACTTCAAGTCTGTGTGAACCATTCAGTTGGAAAATACTGAAATTATGTTGAGAGTCAAATGTTTTTTTGGTTCACTCCAAAATAAAGGACAAATATTAAGAAAATAAATAACCTTGCTTGGCTGTGCAGCCAGAGAAATGTTTCCTCTGGATTTGCAACACATTTGGCAAAGATTGTGAAAAAATGAGTGCAGTACTTGAACATTTGGAATTGGGCCAGAACTGTAGGTTCTCCATAAAACATACATTTGGAAATAATTGTTGTAAGAAGCCCAGCACTTTTATGAGCCGAAATCTTTTCTACATTGATTCATCATGTATAAATTATAACAGGGAATTCATATTCTAAACCTAAGATAAATCAGATGCAAGAAAATTAAGGTCTGGGGCAACAGTTTGAAGTTTTCTTATTTCCATCTTCCCTGACAAGTCCTAAGATCTGTTGTCCTTGTATCTGTGACAGGGGACAGCATCTACGCCAATGCATCAAACTGGAGTGAAGTGAAGCTGTGATGTATTTATTGCAATAAATGTAGGTTGAGTAGATAATTGATTAAAGAAACAGAAGTTCATTATCAGTAGTTAATTCTGCCTCTGTTGTTAACAAAACTACTGCAAGTCCCTTCATTCAAAACCCATTATAACCAGCTCAGTAAAAGCAACAGCAATTGCAGCTTTCACCCCAGTCAATTTCTTTCTGTTGGAAATATAAGCAAGGGGGGGAAAAGAAATTAATTTACATTCTAAAACAAAAAAATAATAAAAATCAAACCCTGCAGGTTTATCTTTTTATCTATAGGTAGAGGAAGAATTTAAGTTTCTAGGAGAGGTTATTTGGAGCAGCTGGGAATTTCTGTTATTCATCAGCACTTTAGTAAACAACCAACAGGAACCACAGATCATTTTTACAACTGCTGATGCAGTTGCAGGCATGTTTTGACACACGACAGTGCTACCAATTTCAGAAATTGAGCCTTTAAAGCCCTGGCCTGCAAAGAGCTCAGTGCATTTTGCTTGGTAATTTCTCAGCTGTTACCTCTAATCAAAAAATCATAAAAGTGAGAAAACTACTCATGGCAAACATAAACGAGCATGATTTCTAACCTCCTGTAAAGAGGCAAGTGGTACAAGTCCTATCCCCACAAGCAGTGGATGTGCATTAATATTCTTGGGCTGCTACAGAAGGAACCTGTGCCAAAGCTGCCATTAAGCCTCTAAAAGGGTAACAACCTGTATTTTACATAATCCTAGAAGACATTCTGTGTTTAAATTCAGCTTGCATTACATAAAAGTAAAATTGAGTAGATAAAAAACCCCAGGAAACTACTGTGTTAAGATGGAGAGGAGAACCTGATGCTAAGGCATCCAAGCCATGTTAGGATGTCAGGTCCTAGTTTCACAGCAGCTGCTAATGGAATGAAGTGGACAAGGATTAAGCCTTCCCTCTCACACACACCTTAGCCCCCAGCCAGGGTCACCTCCTAGGGTGAATTAAGAAGAGTGTGGCCAGTAGATCAAGGGAGGTTCTCCTCCCTGTCTATGCTGCCCTAGTGAGACCACATCTGGAGTACTGTGTCCAGTTCTGGGCTCCTCAGTTCAAGAGGGTCAGGGAACTACTGTATAGAGTCCAGTGGAGGCTACAAGGATGATTAAGGGACTGGAACATCTGTCTTAGGAATGGAAAGGCTGAGAGATCTGGGGCTGTTTTGTCTGGAGAAGACTGAGAGGGGACCTTATTAATGTCTACAAATATCAGAAGGGTGGGTGTCAAGAAAAAGGGGCCATTCTCTTTTCAGTCATGCCCTGTAATAGGACAAGGGGCAATGGACACAAACTGGAACACAGGAAGTTCCATCTCAATATGAAGAAAAAAACTTCTTTCCTGTGAGGGTGACAGAGCCCTGGGACAGGCTGCCCAGAGAGGTTGTGGAGTCTCCTTCTCTGGAGACTTTCAAGACCCATCTGGACACCTCCTGTGTGACCTGCCCTGGGTGTTCCTGCTGCAGCAGGGGTGTTAGACATGATGATCTCCAGAGGTCCCTTCCAACTCTTTCCATCCTGTGATTCTGTGATTCCATGGTTACACTTGCCACTGACAAAACACACGTAAAATATTAGTTCAAATGCTAAAACACACCACCCATTCAATCATTCCAGGTCCCCAAGTAAGAGGATGGCAACATGACAGGCAGCCACACCGATTAAAGAAAAAGCAAAAGGCAAGTTGTGCTTGCCTTCCATCTTCCTCCCAGTTATAAAATCCTGTAAAACATTCCACTAAACCAGCATTGTTTAAAAAACAAGATCAGCTTCTCCAACAGAGCAAGACTTACCTGATGGAACACAGGCTCTTTCAAATTTAAGTAAACCTGGAAAGATGAAAAAAAAAAGAGAAATAAATTGCAACACAGAACAATCATAACATTATTCATCTAAATATTGCCAAGACTTTTTTCTGTTAGAATCAAGACACGAGTGCCTATCCATGCACCACTGAAGTTGACTAAACATTTGAAGTTTCCTCTGGCAAAACCTGAGGTTTTAACTATGGGATTACTTTAAATTAAGAAGCACATATAGAGACATTACCATCTAAACCATCTTCATTTAATAAGAGTTGTAACACTTGCAAAAAAACAATTAAGTACAGAAATTACCAAACACATGCTTGAGATGCACTGCAAGAAGAATATGTTCTCTACCTTGATCTGCTGTTATTCATGTTTTTGACAATGCTTTAACATTTCAATTCTTTTTACCACAAGCAAGTAGTTTTTCCTATTGTTAACACATTTAATTTAATTTCTGTTTTTGAAGATAGAGGGGCTCTAGATCTTAGGCATGTCATTCCTCAAGTGTAAAAAAATGCAGAAGGCACAAAGGAGAACACACAGAAGGCAGAAGATGACCTATAATACTTATTTTTTTAAAAAGTGTTTATCTATAAAACTAATGAAGATTATTCCATCTGTCAGTACAAAACTCATGTAATTCATTAAGGGAATACACTGAGAAAGGGAATCAAGTTAGCCACGACACAGTTGAAATGCTTCTCATTTATTTTTTTTTACCAGCAAAGTTCCTTTCTTATTCTGGCTTCAGTTTTAAAATACCAGGCAAAATCCCAGCCTGTGTATCACAGTTCACTTTTTGCAGTCTGTTGAACAGGATCATTCTCATCTCTGTAGATGAATTACAGTGAGGGAAGATGAGGAATGCAGCTTCTCCAAGGTCTCATAACAAGTCAACAGAGACTGTTTTTCTCACATTCCTATTCTAGCAGCTGGATGACTGCTCTTCCTCTTAATTTATTCCCTAGAGTGCTTTAGATAGAAATCTTGTAGGTTTCTCTGGGCATCACATACTTTTCCCAATAAAAGAATCATTTGTCCTTCTTGACTGGGAGTAAGAGGGATTCAGTACTGTCTCTATAACCTGGCCCCACTGGCAGGAAAACTGTCAAACTACAGGTGAAAATACCATATTAGAAGATGTTACTTACTATGCTGACTATGAAGCTGTACGTTATCAACAAGAAAAGCAGTGGGTAATTGACTGTATTCTTGTACTTGAAACATTCATACCTGGAAGAGAACATAAAGGAGAGTGATAATCTTCATCACTTACCATAGAATGGGTGCATTTTTCAAGGTACACGATGACAAAATTTGTGAGAAAATTGATCCAAATGAGCCTTAGGCCCCTCAAAAAGTTGTAGCTCCTCCACTAAATATATGTCATTTTAATTTTAAAAGACACACTTTTACCAATAAATGTTTTTTTAAAAAAATCTAGAGCAAAAAGAACCCAAATAAGTCCATGCATATACAAAAAATAACCCAATCAGTGCAAAGAGTTTAGGAAGCAGAAGCATTTTCAGAAGGTGTTTAAGGGGTAATAATGGATTGCAAATTAGAAATGAATTTACAATGCAATACAGCTGCCAAAACCCATTACATCTGTGAGCTAAAGGCAGGGGACTGCCTTACAAAACCATGAATTCCAAAGATCTGTTAAGATGCAGATTATTTATGGCTTTACTACAGTCACAGGGCAGTGAATTTGCTAGACTGGGTACTGGTAGAAGTGAAAACTCAAACCATTTAATAGCTTCTAGTATGTAAACCAGCTAATTAAAATTAGTTTCACAATCTCTACGCTAGACTTTGGTCACAGCTGTGATGGAATTACACACACAAATCTTAAGCTGTATCTCCATCAGGAAGAAGCTCCAAAAAAACCCAACAAAAATGAACTTTGAGAAGCACAAAATCATTAAGGCTGGAAGAAGCTGTTTATGTAACTCCCAGTTACAATTCCCTGGATTGTTTATAAACTTTGGAAAGAGATACCATTATGGACGAATAAAAGGAACCAAAGAAAACACATGTAGAAATATCTGGGGAAATGTGTTACAGTGCAAAATGGTTTGGCAAAGTAATTACACAGCTTCAGAGTCAGTAGGCCTGAAGGATGTATAAGGAAATCACAGAATCATGATATGGTGAAGGTTGGAAGGGGCCTTAAAGACCATGAGGTTCCAACCTCCCTGCTATGAGCAGGGACACCTCCCACCAGCCCAGGCTGCACAAGCCTCATCCAACCTGCCCTTCAACACCTCCAGGGAGGGGGCAGCCACAACTTCCCTGGGCAACCTGTTCCAGTGCCTTCCTGCCCTCACAGTGAAGAATTTCTTCCTAATATCTAACCTAAATCTCCCCTCTCTCAGTTTAAAACCATCACCCTTTGTCTTATCACTGCCCTCTCTGGTGAAAAGCCCCTCCCCAGCTTTTCTGGAGCCCCTTTAGGCACTGGAAGGTGCTCTAAGGTCTTCCCAGAGAATTCTGTGCAGATCCACCCCACCACCTACCTTCAAGAAAACCAAACCCATTTTTAAAGGTCTCCTAAATGAAACATTAGCTCATTCTTCAGAACATTTTAATTATTACCAAACATACACACACAGAATCTTATTAGACCTCGAAATGCAGAAACAGACTTGAGTGCTTTTGAAGATAATAGAGTCACCATTGAACAAAACAAGCATCATTATCTTTTCAAACAGATTTTTATAGCTACTTTCTCATTCTTTCCCCCAATCACATTCAAATCAGATGAAATAAATGCAAAGGCAATTTCAAGGAGATAGGGAGCTACAATAAAAATACTTCTACTAACAGAGGCATTATGATTCTGGTCCTGGATTTGCACAAATCATATTAATGAATGAATCCCAAACTGATGGTAATTTCCACAGATGTGGATTCATTCCTATAGCATCTCATCTCCTTTGCAAGCCACCAATAATCTGCACTAAAGATCTTCCCATTTTGAAAGGCTGAATATTTGCTACGTTTAAAAGCAAACAGACAAATGATTTTTTAATGCAACAAGTCGATTTATCCTGTGGATTTTCCAAGTGACAGATGATGTTAAATCCAGCAACAGGCAAGAAAAAGCCAAATTACAGGATCTTTACATTTGCCAAATGCTATGTTGCTCCTGAAATGAAATGGGAAAAAACATCCTGGCATGGCATTAAGCTGTCATGCATGTTCCAGGACACTCTACAAAATATGCACTCAACTCTTCATAAATTTTTATTTTTTTTTTCTTTAATTTTCCAGAGGATTGGAAAGCAGCTTTAGCAAGAAATCTGAAATTTGCATTTGGAGTCATAGAAATACAGCTCATCATAGAAATACAGCTCAAATAAATTCCAGTGTTGACAATTTTGTAGGTGTTACTGAAGTCGATTTCATTCTGTCTGCTGTTTATATACCAAGTAACACTGAGTGAGCTCTGGTTGTATATGACACAAAGTCTTTAACAGGAGGGGTTTGAGGGCTTTTTTCCTGCTAAATAAACACTGGTAAAATTTCTCTAAATTAGCAAAAAACAGGATCAAAGTCAGCCTGGTGCTCCAATGGCCAAGTCATAGAGTTGCTCTGCTAGAAAACATTTCTCTCCTGAGATCAGAAGTTTCAGTGCCAGCCTCACTACACACTAGATTGGGCTTTGCAGATTCTCCATTTCAACAGTTAATATTTCATAAATATTCAGTAAAAAAACATTGAACAAATACTTACAGGCAGTAGACAAACACACAACAACTGTATATCATTGGCAGTTCATCCAACAGCTACAAAAAGCAGAGACATCAAAACATGAAAACTCCTTTTAACTCCCACACTGATGCAACTTAATTAAGCAGAGATTAGTCTTAAGAAAACAGGAGTTCTGAAATCATTTGGATATTCACCTTCTTGACTGTACTTCAATATGCAGCAGGGTCAAGTCTTATTCAACAACTCAAAGCTTGCTGCATTAATAAGCTTATTACTCTGAATCTTTTGAATATTAGGTTCCAGAAAAAGCCCATGGCTTCAAAACTCACACCATTTTCACTGTTCATCCCTCTTGAAACACCTACAAGCATTAGTTTCGTGAAGTCAGATTGAGTAAAACCACCTTATTGACAACCTGCTCAATATAGCCAGTAGCATTTTCTTACTTCTGTACAAACTCCACAAAGGAACTATAATAATTTTTTTCCATAGCATAAAATAGAACTTTAGCCCATTAAGAAGCACCTTGTGATTTGCTTGCATGTTTGCTTCCTAATTTGGGAAATTTCTGACACTACTTTAATTCAGAGAAAGGGTTTTTTGATGGTTAGCTTGTTGTGGGGTTTTTGTTGTTCCCCCACCCCCAATTATGACTGCAATATAATGTTTTATTGCCTTAAATAATCTATCTATATATGTTTATATATAAAAATATATTAAATTGTATAAATATATTAATAATAATAATATTTGGGGAGAAGACTGCCATGTTACAGCTAAAACAGTTATTTCTTGAGGAACTTGCCATATTAAGGGAGATGGAAATAAAACAGTAAGCACAGATGGGGTTATTTCTCAAGAACAGGTAAGTTCAAAATTGCCCTTTATGTAACATTAGAGGGGGAAAAAAATCATAGCACCATTTTCTTCTAAAACTTTTCTCATCAAAGAACATGAACAAATTTCTGCTCATAAATGTTAAACTTACCTCCTCTTCTGAGGCCTGAAAATCATAAAAAGGCAAGAGCACACAAATGGACCCATGAGGATGGATGCCTCTAATTTCTAGTATGTTAAGCAAAAGTTAATAGTTGGGCTTTTTAGAATTGTGAGACCAGGTTTGAGTCTTTCTCAAGAAAAACAAGAACTGGATGCAAACAAGGTTTTGATCTTTTTACATAATCAGTCTGAAAGCTGTTGATGGCCACTCCTGTATGTACAGAAATTGCCTTTCTATTAGTGGTCCAGGGTACTTAACAACTTCACATCCACATTTTTCTGGATAATGAGACACATGAAGAGCAGTAGCAGCTCACTCAAACACTTGTGTAAATTCAATCATTTAATCACAAAATGCCAGGTTGGAAGTGACCTCAAGGACCATCTGGTCCAACCTTTCCAGGTACTACTCCAGTTGATAGGAGGTGGCTCAGCAGCCTGTTAAGCTGAGACTTCAAATTGCCCAATGTGAAGGAATCCACCACTTCCCTTGGGAGACTATTCGCTCCAGTGTTGGGACTGTCCTCATGGGGAAATCCTGCCTGATTTTGCTTAGTTTGGGAGAATTTTTCTAACTGCACAGGCAAAAAATTTCTTTTCATTTTGAGATTTCCTGTTGTGGAAATTTGAAAAAAAGTGATCTAGTTCTTTACAGGAGAGAGATGTATTATCCTAGGTCTGAACTATTACCTCTTTATGGTTTTGGTCATAGAAACTTCAGGAAATGTTTCACAATCCTGCTAAACAGATCTTGTTGCCACTGAAAGGACAGGTCTTGCTGCTTCAGCCACACTCTCCCTTGCTTCTCTGCTTGTCTGACCCATGGTGAGTCAGCTCCAACAGCTGATCCAGCACAAAACTAACCTTCAAAAAAAGGTTTGAAACCCTAAATATAGAGTCAGGGACCATAATGGGTTGCACACAGAAAGTATGGGGAACACAGATGGTAGCAAGTATGGTAGGTGGCACTTTGCCATCACATGAGTTTATCTTTGCTGGAAACCTTAAGAGAGGAAAAAATAGAAGCAATGGCTGAATTTAACTTGATACTAAGAGTTATTATTTATGAGTTCAGGGATATGCTTTACCAAGTCTGACAGGAATTAGCTGCAGGGTTAATTCATGCAGCTTGAAGAGTGTGAGTTATTTAAAGCCTCATAAAAGAAAAAGAGAAGGAAAAAAAAGAACAAATAAAATACAGCATTTTTTATTTATGTATTTATTTTTAATTTGTACAGCTGATTAGAGTTTAAAGTTCATAGGCTGGCAGCATCTCAGGCACAGAACAACAACAGCAAAGAGCCTCTCAAAAATATCCTAGTTAGAATTTGCTTGCAGAAGACAATGGCTTCTGTATCCAAAGGAATTAATACTTCCAGGAATACTGTCAACAGCATGTCTGAACATGTCTGAGAAATGAAGAAACATGGATAGAAAGAAGCACAGTGAGCTGATTTCACTGGATTTTGGAACGCACAGTCAAGCAGATTCCCACAAAAATAAGAGAAAAAGAAATCACTTCAGAAGTATTCTAATTAACCAATCTGAGTTAGCCATTTACAGTGTTAAGATTGTGAAACATATGTTAAAAAAATTCTCTTTGAACAGTTAGCAATGCTGACTTAATCACAACAAGAGAGAAAGTGAACAGAAAAAGATTATTTACTGGTTGACATGTTTCCTCTCTGGTGATTTGTGAGCTGGCAATCAGAGCAATTATGGGTCACTTGCAGATTTCACTTGGCTGCCAGAATATTAAGTGTCCTTTCTCTGCCTCACACCAAGACTTTTACACCAGTTGTAAAGATGAGGCAAAACATCTCTGCTCTCTTCTCATCTGCTTCTGCCCACTCTTTACTTGCCATGGTTTGTAGGTCCCTCAGTTCCTCTGGTGCAACACCAGAACTAGATGGTTAGTAGCATCAAAGTGACTTGGATTAAAATAGCCCCTACACACCAAAAAACCCCACAACCCAGCCCAAAACCCCACATGAGAATGTTTTTACATCACTGTAAGAAAGAGGATTTGAAACACTGGCAGGGTTAGGAATAAGCAGCTGAGGGAGACAGAAGAAAAAGTGAAGATTCTCACCACTGAAGAGAATACAGGCAAATCACACACTGATTTGGGAGAGAGTGGTGAAATCAATATGAAAAACATCTTTTTATATCAAGAAAAGCACCAAATAGTCTTACATGGTGGCAACAGTATGCTCCATGGAGGCTGACAGTCTCCAGCAGATGCCAGAGATATGAAACAAAGCAAAATGGAGGCAAAAATCACTACAGATCATAAATTCAGTTCAAATTTAAGACACCTAACCTGTGATGTACACACACGCAGTGTGTCAGGTCCTGTTATGATCAGTAGGAATCCAGCCACAGCTTGGGTGCCTAATGCCATCTGAGATGCTCTGTCATCTCCAATGCACCCACTCAAGACCAACAGATGTAACAGGGTGCTCTAAGAGACATGCACCTTTGTGGAATGGCAGCTGGAGGCCAGACAAAACACAAGGTCTAAACTGACACTGAACACCTATATTTAGATAAACTAATATTATAATAGAATCATAGAATGGTTTTGTTGAAAGGGACCTTAAAGAGCATCTAGATCCAACCTCTCTGCATGGGCAGGGACACCACTAGACCAGGTTCCTCCAAGCCCCATCCAACCCGGCCTTGAACACTTCCAGGGAGGGGGCTTCCACAAGTTCCCTGAGCAACCTGGGCCAGTGTCTCACCACCCTCACAGGAAAGAATTTCATCCTAATGTCTAACCTAAATCTCCCCTCTTCAAGATTAAAAACATTACCCCTTGTACTCTCCCTACAAGCCCTTGTAAAAAGTCTCTCCCCAGCTTTCCTGGAGCCCCTTCAGGCACTGGCAGGCTGCTGTGGAGTCTCCCTGGAGCCTTCTCTTCTCCAGGCTGAACACCTCCAACTCCCTCAGCCTGTCTCTAGACTAGAGCTGCTCCAGCCCTCAGATCATTGTTGTGGCCCTTCTTTGGACTTGCTCCAACAGCCCCATGTCCTTCTTATGTTGTGGGCTCTAGAATTGGACACAGTGCTCCAGGTGGAGTCTCATGAGAGCTGAGTAAAGGAAGAAAATCCCCTCCCTGGCCCTGCTGGCCACTCTTCTTTTGATGCAGCCCAGGACAGGGTTGGTTTCTGGACTGCAAGCACATGTTGCCACCTCCAATGGAGCATGGAGAACCGTTCAGCCCAGCTAACTGGCTCTCTAAACTCCACTGACTTTACTATTATCTCCATGTGGGAGCACAGACTTCCAGAACACACTTTTAAATGTAAGTTTCTTATTTCTGAACTGAACCCCACTTCACCCTGACTTGGATTGAAAGATTAATTTCCTTAATCTTCTCAGATCTGTGACAGGAAAAGACTCCTTGTGTCCCTTTAGAAATGAGAAATCCCAGGATCAAATCCTGACAGCCCAGTGATTTATTACAGAATGTTCTCTATTTGAAAACAAGAGTGAGAGACACTTAACTCTTGCTACTGAGAAAATACTGACTTCAGCATTAATGCTACAGGTACCTCTAGATAAACAGAGAACATAAAAGAAAACATAAAGATGAAAAAAGGACACAATAAATAACAATAACTCTAGTCTGTGCTACTTGGTATCAAGCAAAAGCTGTAGGAATTTTAAAATAACAATTTGAGTAAAAAGATTTCCCAAAGAATAAGGTGTCTTCAACCAACATAAATAATTGATTATGGCTTTTATTTTAGATGCAACTATATATTCCTGTATATCTATCCATGGAAATTATCTCATGAAACAAGACCTGCACTATTCCTTTGCTGAGAGCAGGAGTCATGTACAATGATAATTCAGGTAGATTAATTCTTGTTATATGAGTTTCATCTAGTCAAGAAATGGCAAGATGACAATCAAGTGAGATACACACAACAAATGATTCATAGTGACTCATCAATACTCACCTGCATTTCATACTTCAGAGTCATGTGAAAGCACCAGGATCCCAATCCCACAGCTGAAACCAAATCAAAACTATGGTTAGCACAAACGTTTACATGTAAAGCTTTGAGATACATTAACTTACATGAATGAACTTTACAGGGAAAAAAAAAATAAAACAGGGTATCCATTTCAGGGACAAACCACAGTTTTCCACAGCCTTCTACTTTCCCTTTTAGTCACCAGTGATGTGCTTGACTTTATGCTTTTTGGGGGGTAGGTGTCCACTTTTCCTCCTCTCAATACTGTCTCCTGTGAACTGGTGTAATATCAGTTAGGGTAAGAGTGGAGGGAACTAAGACTGACTAGAACATTATAATTCTATTTTATCTTATTTTTTTCATTTTAAGTACATTAAGATTTATCTCTTTTCATCCTTCTGTAACACAAAGATTACTTCAGCTACTAGAACTCTTGAAAGCCTGTGATATTTCTGCTTATTGTCCAGTTCTGAAAGCAAATTTTCCAAGGAGGTTTTTGTCAGCTCAAGGAGCAGCAATGAATTGCTACTAGAGCTTAGAAATAGAAACTCAGGGTAAGCAAACAAAACCGACACAGTATGGATATGTTTGTGAAAGGATATCGCCATTTATGAGCCTTCTTGGAAGCTCATCTTTCTATGTCATGATTTTTATTTCAAATACTTTATTTTCCTTTTTCCTACTTTATTTTACTTTTTACTTTTATTTCCAGTACTTGAAGGGGACCTACAGGAAAGCTGGGGAGGGGCTTTTTACAAGGATGTGTAGTGATAGAATGAGAGGTAATGGTTTTAAGCTGGAAAAGGGGAGATTTAGGTTAGACATCAGGAACAAATTCTTTACTGTCAGGGTGGTGAGACACTGGCCCAGATTTCCCAAAGAAGCTGTGGATGCCTCATCCCTGGCAGTGTGGAAGGGCAGTGTGGATGGGGCTTGGAGCAACCTGGTCTAGTGGGAGGTGTCCATGAAGGGGGTTGGAACGAGATAATCTTCAAGGTCTTTTCCAACTCAAATCATTTTATGATTCTGTGATTTTTAAACTATGAATTTACTTCCAAAGCTAATATATGAGGTAGGTACTTTGCCTATACACAGCTTTTTCAGTTAGACAAGGACAATGTTTCTTGGAAATCAGATTTAGAGCAAAGCTGGTAAAGTATTTAATGTATCATTCATTACTTTGAATTGCTATCACTTGAACAATTTCATTAAGCACCAGCTCATTTTTATTTTGCCAGAACAAGTACATGGATGCCATTTCTTGTCTTCCTTCAAGAAATTATGTTTTACCTCTGCCTCTAGTTTCAGAGAAAGCCCAGTAATTTGCATTCAAGCCTTGATCACTGGGTAGTGCTGCTGTGCTTTGCTGCAAGGGTGTAACATTTTCTACACACAAAAAGGATTCCCAAGACAGCTGATAGATGTGTCTGGAGATGTTTCTTTCAATGCTATTAGACTAGAATTGAGATGATTACACATACTCAATGAAATGAAATACCTAAGCACATAACTGTAAGATAGGACTGTAATACACCTACATTTTAAGTGTATTGCCACGTACCCTAATGTCATTAATTCTCTGGGAAAATTAAGCACAGCTGTCTCCCAGAACATAAACAACCATATGCACTTCTCTAAGCTCTGATTAAACTGTCTTGCTTCTGAAGAATCTTTCCAAACTATCAGCAACAACTGTTTTCCACCATCATTGAGATTTTAATGATAAAGTCTCACAGCCATTAGTCTATGAATACAGAATATACTACAACCACTGTTCATTCTGAAGGGAAAAAAAAAACCCATGAGGATCATAATTACAACAACACCATCCACTATCCTGCCTGTCCCAAGGATTTCAGAACCTTCATTAAACAAACTCTTCCAATTGATAACAAGTGTAATTTTCAAACACAGGCAAAATCTTTCTATACAAAATTTGAACTGATTGTAAATGAACAAAATATGTTGTATGGGGTTTTTTTTGTTTTATTTTGGGGTGGGCTTTTTTTTTGTGGTTGGTTTGGTTTTTTTGTTAATATTACTGAGGTTAATAAACCTCAACAATCAACTACTGAACTCCTCACCTTCCTCCTGCAGGTTATTTCTAGATTATTTTCCCTTTCCAGTCTTTGCAAAAATCAAGACTGCAATAGATATAAGTGTTTCAGGTCATTAATCCCATGACTACAATTAATGCCTAAAATAAAATAAAACATCTTCTTGCTTCTGTGTAATGATTCCAGCTGGAGTTGCTTTGAGAGGTCATGGCAGTCTGGTGAGGCTCCCACTGATTGGAAAAAAGGGAACATAGCCACTATTTTTTAAAAGGGGAAAAGAGGAAGACCCAGGGAACTACAGGCTGGTCAGCCTCACCTCTGTGCCTGGCAAGGCCATGGAGCAGATCCTCCTGCTAAGCCTGGAAAGTCTGCTAAGGCACATAAAAAATAAAGAGGTGACTGGTGACAGCCAACATGGCTTCACTAAGGGAAAATCATGCCTGAGCAGTCTGGTGGCCTTCTACAACACGGCTACAGAGATGGTGGCAGAGCAACTGATGTCATCTACCTGGATTTGTGCAAGACATTTGACACTGTCCCACATGACATCCTGGACTCCAAACTAACAAGACATAGACTTGACAGATGGACCACTTGGTGGATAAGAGATTGGCTGGATGGCCACACCCAGAGAGTGGTGTCCCTCAGGGGTCAGTATTGAGACCAGTGCTGTTTAACAGCTTTGTTGGAGACATGGACAGTGAGACTGAGTGTATCCTCAGCAAGTCTGCTGATGATATCAAGCTGTGTGGTGTGGTTGACACCCAAGAGGGAAGGGATGCCATCCAGAGAGACCTTGACAGGCTGGAGAGGTGGGCCAGTGCCAACCTCATGAAGCTCAACAAGGACAAGAGCAGGGTCCTGCCCCTGGGTCAGCACAACCCCAGGCACCAATCCAGGCTTGGGGGAGAGTGGCTGGAGAGCAGCCCTGAGGAGAAGGACTTGGGGTGGGAGGAGATGAGAAGCTGGACATGAGCCCCCAGTGAGGGCTGGAGCCCAGAGGGGTAATTGTGTCCTGGGCTGCATCAAAAGAAGTGTGGCCTGCAGGGCCAGGGAGGGGATTCTGCCCCTCTGCTCTGGTGAGACCCCACCTGGAGTGCTGTGTCCAGCTCTGGAGCCCTCAGCACAAGAAAGATAGCGACCTGTTGGAAAGGGTCCAGAGAAGAGTTACAAAGATGATCAAAGGGCTGGAGCAGCTCTGTTATGAAGACAGGCTGAGAGAGTTTGGGCTGCTCAGCCTGGAGAAGAGAAGGCTCCAGGGAGACCTTAGAGCACCTTCCAGTGCCTGAAGGGGCTCCAGGAAAGCTGGGGAGGGGCTTTTCACCAGAGAAGACAGTGATAGGACAAGGGGTGATGGTTTGAAACTGGAAGAGGGGAGATTTAGGTTAGATATTAGGAAGAAATTCTTCACTGTGAGGGTGCTGAGGAACTGGAATGGGTTGCCCAGGGAGGTTGTTGATGCCCCATCCCTGGAGGTTTTTAAGGCAAGGCTGGATGAGGTTTTGTGCAACCTGATCTAGTGGTGGGATTCTCTGCTCATGGCAGGGGGGTTGGAACTGGATGATTTTTATGGTCCCTTCCAACCTTAATGATCCTATGATTATGAAATTTTACTATGTGAGGAAGAACAATGTTTTAGCTATACTGCATAGCAATAAAATAGTTATCTGGAACAAAAGTTTACAGGGACTCATCATGTGGTCCTTCCTAAAATAAAAACCTCTGCTGGAAATGGCTGCAGGACTGCTTGCTGCAACCTTGGCAGAGCTCATGAACAGGGTCAAGTCTGTTTTGTATTTAAGGGCATTCAGCAACAAACCAAAGCTGCTAGATGGCTAGAGAATGTATGACTGGATTATTCATCAGGTGACACTCTCTAGACTGCACAGACAACATTTTCTCAAACACTGTTTTGGTAACTATGTACAACAGCATATTTTTGAAGAGACAGTTTAAATGAAGACTAAAGGATAAAAGTAGATTTTTATGCATCCCACTTAGATCTGTGTATTGCAAAAGGATAATTTTAAATGTTGAATTTTACATCATAGAGGGATAAGTTCAAAAAGTTTTACATCTAGATACTGAATGAGCTAGAACCAAGTTTCCAGTCTGCTACCTTTGGCATATGGTGCATCTTAACTCAGAACTGTGCAAAAAGCTTATAGGGTGGAGAGCTGGGCAGAGAGAAACCTTCTGAGATTCAGCAAGGGCAAGTGTAGGGTACTGCACCTAGGGAGGAGTAACCCCATGTACCAGTACAGGCTGGGGGCTGACTTCTTGAAGAGCTGCTCTGGGGAAAAAAACCTGAGTCCTGGTGGGCAACAGGATCACCATGAGCCAGCAATGTGCCCTTGTGGCCAAGAAGGCCAATGGCATCCCATGGTGCATCAAGAAAAGTGTGGCCAGCAGGTCAAGGGAGGATATCCTGTCCCTCCACTCTGCCCTGGTGAGGCCTCACCTGGAGTATTGTGTCCAGTTCTGGGCTCCCCAGTTCGAGAGGGACAGGGAATTACTGGAGAGAGTCCAATGGAAGCTATGAAGATGATGAGGGGACTAGAACGTTTCTCTTATGAGTAAAGGCTGAGGGACTTGGGTCTTTTTAGTCTGGAGAAGAAAAGACTGAGGGGATCTTATAAATACTTAAAAGGCTGGGTGTCAGGAGAATGGGGCCAGTCTTTTTTCAATGGTACCCAGTGACAAGACAAGAGGTAACATGCACAAACTCGAAAGTAGGAAGATCTGCATAAAAGTCAGGAAGAACTTCTTTACTGTGTGGGTGGCAGAGCAGTGGGACAGGCTTCCCAGAGAGGTTGTGGAGTGTCTGTCTCTAGAGACATTAAAAACCAGGCTGGATGCCATCCCATGCAACCTGCTGTGGGTAAGCCCCCCTAGGGGAGTTGGACTAGATTATCTCCAGAGGTCCCTTCCAACCCCTAACACTCTGTGATTCTGTAAATCTGTTCAAAAAGGAGGAA